CTCGCGGCCTGCGCGCCGCGCGCGGCCGCCGCCGCCAGCCGCCCCTCAGCTTCCCGCCGGGCCTCGGCCTCGCGCGCGGCGGCGGCCTCGGCGGCGGCCAGGCGGCGGCGGAGCGCGGCCTCTGCGCCGCGCGCCACGTCAGCGTCGGTGCGGAGGCGGCCCTCTGCGGCCCTCGCCGCCGCCAGCTCCTGCTGCAGCGACTCGCGGCCGGCCTGCGCGCGGCGGGGCGGCAGGGAGGGGCGGTGCTCAGGGCAAGGTGATACAAAGCGCGAGGAGACACGCGGCTCGAACCGCCGTGTGGCGGCGCGCGCGATGCACCCGCAAGCAGGTTCACTGGGATCGAGTCTGTCTGCGATGTTTCAGGCCAACTCGTGCAGGCAGCTGAGCACGGTGCCAAAAAGCGAGCACAAAGTGTAAGGGAGCCTGCGCGTTCCTCACTTGCGTCAACAACAAGTGCACGCGTGCGACCCTGAACACACACACACACACACACACACACATACCACACACACACACACGCACCTGCTCCGCCCGCGCCGCGCGCCGCCGCTCCTGCTCGCCGCGCCTGAGCAGCTCCCCGCGCTCCGCCGCGAGGGACGCGGCCTCCGCCGCCGCCAGCGCCGCCGCCGCCGACGCGGACGCCGCGCGCTGCCGCGCGTCGCGGAGGGCGCCCTCCGCCGCGGCGCGCGCCTCCTGGTGCGCCCCCAGCTCCCTGGGGGCGGCGGGATGACTCACGCGGGTGACTCATGCACTTACAGCAACATCGTCGCGACCAATGCTAGCAGCGCTCAGGGCCTGGTGCCTTCCCCAGGTTTGGCAGCAGCAGGCTGCGGCCTGCTTCCCTGGCGCCCCACCCGAGTCGAGCAGCACCTCGCCCCTCTATCTACACACCGCTCCCACTGCGCTTTCGCCCTCTCACCAGCGACCCTCCCCGCCTTGCCCGTCGGGGCAACCACCCTCCTCAAGGTAACCCCCGCCTTGCGCCCGGCGCTCGGCGGTTCATGGTCCCACCCCTTCCGACAAGCAAGGACGCATGCGCCCAATCACCCCCATCTCCAACCACCACGCCCACCTAATCGACCCCCACCACACCACCCACCCACTCATCCTCCCAGCCACTATCCATGCTCGCCAACAAACACCCTCTCGCCAAAATCCACCCCACCCCCCACCCGCCCACCTCAGCGCCGCCAGGTGGGCCTGCCCCGCGCCCTCCATGCTCCTCAGCCAGGCCTTCACCCCCACCAGGTCACACTCCAGCTTTCGCCGCAGCGCGTCAGACTCGCCCGCCGCCGCGCGCGCCGCGGCCGCCTCCTCCACAGCCTGCGGCCGTGATTCGACCGCACGCAGACGTCACCGGTTGGTTAGACGACCATATGGCAGGCGGAGTCATCGCAACGACCACAAACAAGTGGGTACAGAATTGCTTGCCCAACACGGTGCAACCGCAACCTGCCTGATCACAATTATGAGCACCTGCTGTCATAGACAGGCCCCTGCTTTCACCTGCACTCCCCCCCTTCTCATTGCGCCCGCGCCAGGCGCGCCCACGCACCTTCTCCAGCTTCTCCTCAGCCGCCCGCCAGCTTCCCCTCAGCTGCCCCGCCTCGATCTCCAGCGCCATCCCCCGCTCCTTCTGGCGCCAGTACTCGTCCTGCAGCAGCAGCCACGCGCGCGCCAGCCGCTCGTGCTCCTGCCGCGCCGCCGACAGCTGCTCCTCCAGGGACGAGGCGCCGCCCTCCTCCCCCTGGCCTGAGACGTCGCCGCCCCCGCCGCTTGAGCTCTCGCTGCTGGACTCCTCCTGCTGCTGCTGCTGCTGCTGCTGCTGTAGGGAGTCTGACACTGGGTTCACCCCCTCACCAGCACAGCTGGCGCCCACTGCTGAGCCTTCCGCTGCTGACTCATGGCCCTTTGCCCGCGGCTGATCTGCCGCCACAGCAGCCGGGCCGCCCCTCGCGCCAGCGCCGGACGCAGCCTCTCCCAGGCCGCTTGCGGCCGCCTCCAGCGCCGCCGCCGCCGCGTCCTCCCCCGGCAACGCGTGCGGCAGCGCCGCCGCCGGCTCGAGCCCCGCGCCGCGCAGCTGCGCCTCGAGCGCGCGCGCCGCGCGCTCCGCGGCGCGAAGCCGCGCCATCACGGGCCAGTACGCCGCCACGAGATCCCCGCGCCTCTCGGCCTGCCGGGAGAGGTCCGCCTCGAGATCTTCCACTCGCATCTGCGCGGCTTCGCTGGCTGAGCGCCAGGCGGACGCCTTGGCTGAGATCTGGCTCGCCGCCGCCAGCTCCCGCTGCAGATCCGCCACCCTGTTTCATCGTGTTGTGTGTTGGTTTGCGTCCGAGCCTTGCGTTTGTCAACGCACACACAATCACATGCGTGTCTGTGTTTAGCACCAACGGGGGAAAATTCGTTTTGAACACCAACACAGCTGCAACGCCACCGATCCTGGTCACCCCCTCCGCGGGCGGGGGCCGTCGCACCGGTGAGACAGCAACCAAACAGCCCCCCCGCATGCAAACAGTCCAGGATTAAGATACTCGTCGCAGCACACACAGACCAGCTCCAGACCTCCAGAGGACTATGCCACTGCCGCCAGAGCGTTCGACGCACCGCTGACCCGGGGCCGCCGCCCACCTGGCCAGCAGCTTCCCGTTGGCGCGCGCCACCTCCTCGACTTCCACCCTCTGGGCGGCAAAGTCCGCCCGCAGCAGCGCGAAGCCGCGCTTCTTGGCGGCCAGCCGCTGCTCCGCGTCGCCGGCCGCACGCGACGCGGCGGCGGACGCAGCCTGCTCGGCGCTCAGCCGCTCCTCCAAGGCCTGCCGCTCCCCCGCGGCCGCCACCAGGCGCGCCTCGAGCTCCCGCACCTGCCCGTGGCGGCACAGCACGCAAAGCACGCAGCGTGGCGCGCGCCCGGGTTGGGGCGTGACTGAGTGTGGGGCTCGGGGCGCGACTCGGGCGTGGTGCGAACAACCAACATGCGATCCAGCTGGGCAGGGGTGGAGGGGGTGCGGGGCTTGTGCGTGTGATTTTTTTGGGGGGGGGGCCTGCTGCATGCTGCCTCTTCACCAGGCACACGACCCACACGCACTCAGCCGCTTGCCATTGCCCTGTACGCCAGCTTGCACGTGCCCGGCTGCTTCCCCCTGCTGCACAAAACGCACCCAAAAACACTGTACAATCCCATGAGCCTGGATGGCTCCAGGAGCGGGCGACCGGGGGACGCTGTAACAATCCTAATCCTAATCCAAAAACCCGGTCAGGGGCCCCGCAGCCCGCGCTCCCGCCCCCCACCTGCGCCTCCCAGCGCCTGAGGCCGCCATCCTTCTCCACCAGGGCCGCCCGCGCCTCTGACAGCTCAGCCTCGCGCCCCGCCAGCGCGCCGCGGAGGCCGTCCAGCTGCGCCCCCAGCCCCTCGATGCGCACGCCCAGCTGCGTGTTGCGCGTCTGTGCGTTCCGTGGCGATGGCGGCGGCGGCGGCGATGGAGGGACGCGGACGAGCGAGGAATTAGTGAGCACCGCGCGCGCGTGCGCGTGCATACGTTTCAAACCATGTGTGCATGAGTGCACAACGTACACCGCATGTGCATTACATGCATGTGTACTCCAAGCATACCTCATGTGTGTGTCCCGTGAACGCATATGCACATGTTGCATGTGCGTAGCTGCACATGCGCGTCAGCGCACCTGGGTTGTGGCCATGCGGTACGAGAGCTCACTGTTAGTGGCACCCAGGGTGGTCACCTCGGCTGGGCAAGAGAGGGAGGGGGGAGCCGCAACACGGGATGTTTCATGGTTGATGTGAGCGAGGCGGCAGCGCAAGAGCGCGTCGGCAGGCAGCACCAGTTTGAGCTTGGATATGATGGTGCTGCCAAGGTGTCAACAGCAACAGCAACAACACCCAAAGAAGCAGCAGCAGCAGCAGCAGCAGCAGCAGCAGCAGCAGCAGCACCAGCAGCAGCAGCAGCAGCAGCAGCACCAGCAGCAGCACCAGCAGCAGCAGCAGCAGCAGCAGACCGGGGACGCGCAACGCAGCTGTGCATGGTGGAGGGCCAGGGGCACGTGACAGCCGCCGCGCCGCCGACGCACCCTCGAGTGAGTCCGCTTTGGCCTTGAGGGACCGCCAGGACAGCATGTGATCCAGGTTGGAGCGCACAAACTCGTCACAACGCGCACGCAGGTCCCTGTGGGGGCGGGGCCGAGTGGCGCGGAGACCTGAACCTGCATCCAGTGCACATGTTTGGTGTGCACATGCTTCATGCCGGCAACTGCAGGCCGCACGGCCAGCTGCACGACCCTGTGGCACGGGTCCACCGCCCACTCACCCTTTGTTTGATGGCCCTTGACATGGCCCTCAAACGCAGCCACCGCCCGCCAAACCCTGCTCCCCCCTCTGACCGCCCGCTCCCCCACACCACCCACCCCTTCCCAGCCCTGCTTCCCCCACTCAGCGCCCTGCCCCCGCACGCCAGCCCACACCATCCCCTCCCACCCTCCACCCCCGCAC